CCGGGGCGCCCCCCCTGCCGGTCCGACCGGTCCGACCGGCTCCTCCGCCCTGCCCGGCTCTGTCGCCGCCCGCTCCGAGCGGCCGTGCCCCGCGGCGGTGCGGGCCGGGGGGGCGCGCCGGGACCGGCGGCGCCGCGGGCAGCCCCGGGGCAGCCGGTCGGTGTGGGGGGCGGTGGGAGCGGGACGGGAGAGCGGCCGGTACGGGGGGCGCAGGACGGGGGGGACTCGGCCGGGCCCGGGGCTCGGGAGGAGGGGCGCTGCACGGGACGACTCGACCGGACCCGGGCCTCGGGGGTGCGATGGGGTCCATAGGGGGCGGTGGGGGGATCCCGGAGGGGAGGGGGCTCTGTGGGGGCGTCTGAGCGCTGCCCTATAGGGGAGGGGGCTCTGTAGGTGCTCCGGGCTCTGCCCTATAGGGGAGGGGGCTCTGTAGGTGCTCCGGGCTCTGTCCTATAGGGGAGGGGGCTCTGTAGGCGCTCCGGGCTCTGCCCTATAGGGGAGGGGGCTCTGTAGGCGCTCCGGGCTCTGGGCTGCGGAGGAGGAGGAGGGTCTGTGGGAGTTCTTGGTTCTGCTCTGTAGTGAAGGAATCTCCGTGGGGGTTCTGGGCTCTGTCCTATAGGGGCTCTGTGGGGCTCCATGGGGTTCTGGGCTTTGCCCTATAGGGGAGGGGGCTCTGTCGGGCTCTGGGCTGTGCCCTATAGTGAAGGAATTTCTGTGGGGCTCTGGGCTGTGCCCTGTAGTGAAGGAATTTCTGTGGGGCTCTGGGCTCTGCCCTATAGGGGAGGGGGCTCTGTGGGGTTCTGGGCTTTGCCCTATAGGGGATGGGGCTCTGTAGGGTCCAGGGGCACTAACGGGACTCAGAGCAGACCGGGAAGGGGAACGCCGTGGATGAAGCCCCCAGGAGAGCCGGGCTCTGCGGGGCTCGGGGGTCCGGGAGGGGCCGGGCAGGGCAGGGATGGCCCTTGGGCTGTGGGGACAGCGGAGCCGCTGGAGCTGCCCCGCGTCCGCAGGTGACAGCGGAGCCCTGAGGATGCGGGGCCGGATCCCGGGAATCTGCGGAGTCCTGAGGATGAGGGGCCACATCCTGGCCCTGCTCGGCCTGGCCCTGGCCTTGGCATCGCTGCTGCCCACGGCCGGAGCACGCCGGAGCCAGGACCTGCACTGCGGAGGTGCAGGGGGACACGGGGGGACCGTGTGGGACACGGGGGACCAGGTGGGGTGGGACAGGATGGGGGGACAGGGTGGGACAAAGTGGGAAAGGGGAGAAAAGGCAGAACAGGGACAATGGGGACAGGGACAGAGGAGACAGCAAGACAGGACAGGGGGACAGGCCAGGGTGGCACAGTCCAGGGCGGTGGCACAGGGCTTGGGGGCGTCCACTGGGAGCAGCTCACCGTGCCTGGGGACAAGCTGAGGGTCTCCCCACACACGCTCCATCCCAGTCTGCCCCAGTCACACCAGTCTGGCTCTGGGCAGCCACAGGAGCGCGGGTGCCGGGTCTCCCATGGCGCCGTGTCCCCCGCAGCCTGCCGGGCGCTGGTGGACGAGCTGGAGTGGGAGATCGCCCAGGTGGATCCCAGAAAAACCATCCAGATGGGCTCGTTCCGCATCAACCCCGACGGCAGCCAGTCGGTGGTGGAGGTGAGGCCCCTGGCGGTGTCCCCGCTGCCCGTGCCGCTCCTGGGGACGCCGCTGACCCCTCCCCGGGGGCTGCAGGTGCCGTACGCTCGCTCGGAGGCGCACCTGACGGAGCTGCTGGAGCGCGTGTGCGAGAAGATGAAGGAGTACGGCGAGAAGGTGGATCCGGCCACGCACCGCAAGAGCTACGTCCGGGTCATCTCCCACGACGGCACCAAGATGGACCTTTCCGGAGTCAAATTCGACGGGGATGTGACCTCCAGCCTGAAATTCGCGGTGTGTGAGGGGACAGGGGAGTCCTGGGGGCGTGGGTGGGACTGGGGCTCCTGCGGGCCGGCGGTGTCACCGCTGCCGTGTCCCGTTGCAGTGCGAGAGCATCGCTGAGGAATACGAGGATGAGCTCATCGAGTTTCTCTCGCACGAGGCTGAGAACGTCAAGGACCGGCTCTGCAGCAAGAGGACGGGTGAGCTGGGGGGCTCTGCTGCCGCTCCTGGGGTCGTGGCTGCTCTGTTGGTGCTGAGATGCCAGCCCAGAGCAGGGGCTGTCCCAGGGGGTCTCTCCTGCTCTTCTGGGGGTCTCATCAGTGCTGGCATGGGAGGAGATGCCAGCCCAGAGCAGGGGCTGTCCCTGGGGATCTTTGCTGCTGTCCCAGGGGGTTTCTCCTGCTCTTCCAGGGGTCTCTCCTGCTCTGTCAGTGCTGGGATGGGAGGAGATACTGACCCAGAGCAGGGGCTGTCCCTGGGGGCCTTTCCTGCAGTTCCAGGGAGTTTCTCCTGCTGTTCCAGGGGCTGGATCTGCTCCATTGCTGCTGGGATGGGGTTTGCTGCCAGCCCAGAGCTCAGGCCGTCCCAAGGGGTCTCTCCTGCTGTTCTGGGGGTCTCTTGTGCTCCATCAGTGCTGGAATGGGAGGAGATACCAGGCCCAGAGCAGGGACTGTCCTGGGGGTCTCTCTTGCTGTTCAGGGGTTGTGGCTGCTCTGTCGGTCCTGGGATGGGATTTGCTGCCAGCCCAAAGCAGGGAGGAGCTGCAGGTTCTTCCCCAAATCCCAGCACCCCATCGCAGCCCAGTGCCCGGACTCTGCTGCCACTGGGGTTTTTTTGGGATGCTGGGGCCGAGCCAGGGCAGCTGCTGTGCTGACTCTGTGGCCTCTCCTGGCACATCCAATGGCCCTGTCCCCGTTCTGGGGCTATTTCCAGCTCACAAACACCCAGGTCAGGGCACGACGTGACCTTTGGGCCACTCCAGTCCTGGATGGGGCCCTGGACGGGGCCAGGGCAGATCCCTTTGTACCTGGCACAGCCATCAGGGCAATCCCAGGGGATCCTGAGGGTCTCGACAGCTGCTCCTGGGGCTCCTCCTGCATCCGGCAGCGCTGGGGCCAGAGCAGGGACAGGCCAGGCTGTGGCTGTGTCCAAACAGCCGCATTTGTCATTTGTCATAGGGGCTCTGATGTGTCCCACAGGGCTGTCATGTCCTGGAGTCTGGTACATCCTGAGGGTCCCACGGGGCTCTGGGCATGGAAGGTCCCACAGCTCTGTCATATCCTGGGAGTCCTATGGGCCTCCAGCATATCCCAGAACTTCCATTGGGCTCCACCACACCCTGAGGGTCCCCCAGGGCTCCACCACACCCTGATTGTCCCCTGCTGTCCCCGCAGACCTGTGTGACCACGCGCTCCACATCCCACACGACGAGCTGTGACTGCCTCCTCCGGAGTAGGGACCGGGACAGCGCCGGGACCCAGCGGGGTGTCCCCGGGACCCAGCGGGGTGTCCCCGGGACAGACGGATCTGCCAGGACCTCCACAGCTCCGGAGCCGCTGCCTCACCCCGTGCGGAGCTCCCGTCCTATTTATTCCCCGTCCGGGGACACCGGGACAGCCACGGGGCCAGGGCCACGTCCTCGCTCCTGCAGGGACATTTCAGGGACATTCCTGCCCCGCTGCTGGGGGACGCGGGGGAGACGCTGGGGCTCAGCCCCCCATGGGTGGGGGGTTTGGGGACCCCCCTCCCTGCTGCAGGCAATAAAGGGGCCGTGGGCCCACCCGAGGGCAGCTCCGGTCTGGTGTGCGTGTGGGGTGGGGGACAGCAGTGTCCCCACGTGTCCCCAGTGGCTCGAGCTCCCTCGAGGGCAGTGTTGGCCCCTCGTGGCTCAGCCGTGGGGCAGGGACAGCGGTCGGCCCGTGGCTTTGTGTCATCCCCAAGTCACCCAGCCCTGCCACTGCGGGAGCACCACGGGGGTCCGGCCCCACGGCTGTGGCTGGTCACCCCGTGTCACCCTGTGTCACCTCGTGTCACACCCCCGTGGGGGTTCTGGCTCCGAGCTGGCACGCTGTGTCATGGCAGCCCGCCATGTGAGGGCTGTGTGAGGGTTCTGGCCTCTGGGCCGTGGCCGGTGTCACCCGATGTCACCCGGCCAGGGTGCAGGAGCAGCAGGAGGGCTCTGCCCCTCTCCTGGCACCCGTCACCCCAGGTCACTCCATGGTGTCACCCGCGCCACCGGGGCCAGCGGGACAATGCCCTGGGCTCAGCGGGGACGGTGACACGTCACTCCGTGACGTCACCGCGGAGCCAGGGTCATGCCACAGCCCATTGCCTCAAGCCACCGTGCCCACATGCAGGATGACGTCATGGGCTCAGGTAACCTCATACCGCCCGGTGACGTCACAGGGCTGCCCCCCACCCCCGCAGCCGAACCCCACCGAGACACTGGCGCGGCCGCGGCGATGACACCGGACCATGACGTCACGCACCGCGGCCAGTGACGTCACGAGACGGGGCGGGCACTCCCTCGCCCCACCCCTGTTCTTGATCAGGCGAATGCGGAGGCCACCTATAGCTCGCGCCCCCCCCCCGCCGTTTCATTAGCGTAGCCCCGCCCCACGACGCGCCACTTGTCCAATAGGAAACGGCTCTGCCCCGAGAGGGGGCGGGATTATGCTAATGACCAGCGCGGCGCTCTGCCCCGCCCTCACGTTGAGGACCCCCGGCCGCCGCCGCTCCGGCCCCGCTCCCGCCCCGGTCCCGCTCCCGGCCCCGCTCCCGGTCCCGTTCAGTCCCGGCCTGTCCCGTCCCGGTGCCGCCATGACGCTCCTCGCCGCCGGCAGCCGGGCGGCCGCGCGCCTCCGCGGGCCCAAGGTGAGCGCGCCCGGTCCGGCCTCGCCGCGCCTTAAAGGGGCGACGCCGCGGGGGGAAGGGAGAGCGGGGGGGTCCGGTTCTTAAAGGGGCGACGCGGGGGGCGCTGCCTTAAAGGGGCCGCGCGGTGGCGGCGGAGGAGGGGGATGGGACCGGGGTGATCGGGATCGCGACCGGGATGGGGACCGGGGTGGGCGCGGGGCCGCAGCGGCAGCACGTGGTGGGCACCGGCGCCGGGCGCTCCCTCCGCGGCCTTCTCAGCGCCGGGGGCACCGGGAGTGGCTCGGGGGGCCCCGGGCCCACTCCGTTCTCGGGGGGCTCCGCCGCTGATTCAGCCCCGTGTCGGGGCCCCCGCCCCTGGGCAGCCCCCGCCGGAGGCTCCGGTCCCGCCGTTCCCCCCCGTTGTGCAGCGCCGAGCTTGGGGGGTCCCGGGCGCCCCCCGGGATCCCCGCACCGGTCCCGGGACCCCGCGCCCGGCAGCACCGGCAGCGGGGGTTGGAGGCGGGGAGCCGTCCCTCCGCCGCCGCCGCCGCCCTTCCCCAGCTTCCCGGTGCCGTAGAGGACAACGGGGTCACAGCGGGGGGACCCCCGTTGGGGCCGAGCGCCGGTACCGGGCCGGAGCGACCCCGGCTCCACCGGTGTGTTTCCCCTGGTCGCGGCCCCGGCGTTTCATAAGGGGCGTTGCGGTGTCTTTATCGACCGGGCGATATTTTGGGATATTCACGGTGCCCCACTTGGCTCTGCTCACCCCTCAAACCGGGCGGAGCGGGGCCGCGATCCCGACCGCCGTTCTCCTGGCCTGGGGCTGCCCCCGCAGCCCCGAGCACCGCGGGAGCCCCCGGAGGGTCCCGGTGTGCCCCCCCGCGCTCCCCCCAGCCGGTGCCCGGTGTCACCACCGACACGTGTGACCTTGAGCCAGTGGCACCTCGGTGACAGCCGGGGCGAGCGGCGGGGACCCCCAAAGCGGGGTGACACGGGGGTGACACTGGGGGTGACACGGTGGGGGGGGGAAGGGGCCCCCGCGGCGGCGACAGCGGCCGCCTTGACCTTGGGCTTCCCGCTGCCGCCTCCATTGTTCCGCCGGCGTTTTCCCTTCCCGGAGCCGCCTGTTGCGGGGGGACGCGGCCTCGCCTCCCGCCACGGCCACACCGGGGGTACCGGGGGTACCGGGGACCCCCCTGTCCGGGCCGGGGGCTGGCGGGGCCTGGGGGACAGCCGGGGGGGTTCTGAGCAGCGCGGCCCCCCCGCGTCCTCCCGGCAGCCAGTGGAAAAACCGAGTCATGTTCTGGCTCTGCCGCAGGCGCTGCCGCAGCTCCGGGCCCCGGGGAATCTCCGGGTGTTCCTGTGGATGGCAGCCCCGGTGTCCCCCGGTGTCCCCCGGTGTCCCCGTCCCTGCGCGCTGCCAGGCCCGGGCTGTTCCCGGTGTGTCCCTGCCGGCCGGAGTCCCCGCGGTTCCCGGTTCCCACGCGTGGGCGAGGAACAAAGTTCGGATTCCCCGGCTCAGGAAAACCGCGGCCGTGCCTGGCCGGGCTCGGCTCCAGGCAGGAGAACGCGGCCGCAATCCCTGTGCCAGCTCCGGGTCTGGCTGCGAGGGCAGCGCGGGGCCACCCCGGCTGATCCCGGCTCTGATCCCGGCTCTGATCCCGGCTCTGATCCCGGCTCTGATCCCGGCTCTGATCCCGGCTCTGATCCGCGCCCGCGTGGGCGAGGGAAGCGGCTCCGGCCACGGCGTCCTTGGGAACCGGGACCTCAGCTCCTGCCACGGGGCTGGGGGGGCTCATCTGGCCGGACCCCCCAAAAAGAGGCTCTGTCCTGGTGACAGGGGGTCTCTGTGTCCGTTGTCCCACAGAATGCACCGTGTGTCCTTTTTGCTGCTCGCCACGCCAGCGCCGCCACGGTAAGGGGGGTCCTGTCCTGTGCCCCCTGTCCTGTCACCTGTGACCTCTCTCCTGACACCTCTTCCCTGTGGCTGCCTCTCCTGAGACCCCTCTCCAAGGGGAGACCCTTCAGTTGTCATCCCCTTTCCTGTCCCCACCTCTATTGTCACCCTGTTTCCCATGAGCCCCTGTTCTGTCACCGTGTCCTGGCACTCTTCTCCAATGGGAACTCCCTTTCCTGTCACCCCCTTTCCCGTCACCCCCTTTCCTGTCACCTCTTTCCTGTGGCCCCTCTCCTGTCACCTCTCTTCAAGAGGGGAACCCTCTCCCATCAGTCCCTCTCCTGTCAGCCCTTTCCCGCTCCTTGTTTTACTGCCCCTTCTCCCATCACCCCCTTTCCTGTTCCCACCTCTTATCACCCCCTCCCCATCCCTGCTCTCCAAGGGGAGTCCCCTCTCCTCTTTCCCTCTCTCGTGTTGCTCCCTCTCCTGCCCCAGCTCTTGTGTCACCCCTGTCCTGCCAGCCTCTCGGTTGTCACACCCTTTTCTTGTCCCCCCTCTCATGTCACCCTCCTTTGTCCCCAGAACCTCAAAGACGTCCTGGCCACCATGATCCCCAAGGAGCAGGCGAAGATCAAGAGCTTCCGGCAGCAGCACGGCAACACGGCCATCGGGCAGATCACGGTGGACATGGTGAGTGTGCGGCCACCGCCGCCGCGCTGGGGCCACCGGGCCCCGCCACCGGCCCTCACCATGGCCTCCCGGCCCCTTCCAGGTGTACGGCGGCATGAGGGGCATGAAAGGGCTGATCTACGAGACCTCTGTGCTGGATCCTGATGAGGTAGGACCCCATCCCACCCTGTCCCATCCTGTCCCATCCTGTCCCATCCCATCCCGTCCCGTCCCATCCCATCCCATCCCATCCCATCCCATCCCACCCGATCCCATCCCATGGATCTCATCTCCATCCCATCCCATCCCATCCCATCCCATCCCA